CATACATTTAAATAATTAAAAAATAATGAATTACTACATCAATACCATAGAATTCCACTATGATATATCAAGCTTAGTAACTAAGATGTATTTTAGTCTAAAAAAATATGAAATTTCGAGCAGACTAAAGACACAACCTACCTCCTTGGAATCTTGGTTCGAAAGAACAAGATGGCATCCTAACACTTTAAAATGGCTGAGAACGCCACTAGGGAGACATTCTGAGCTTTTGATTGGTTATTCACATGCATATATTGAAGTAAGTGTATACAAGGGACCATTTCCATAAATGGAAAGAGGTTGAGCGGGGGCCACTGTGTTTGATTCATTACATGAGTGATATATCAGTAAAGAGAAAAGATAAGAGGTTCTTATTTTACCTTCTAGCTTGTCAATATCGGTAATTTGAATTTCTAATTAGTAAAAGACTACAGACCTAGTATTTTGACTTCACAAATATCTAACTTGAACCAGTGCTGCATTCAACATACCACGTGACACACAAAAATCAATGTTTATCTTGTTTTTGTAATATTTGCTTTAAAATTAAGAAATTGAGTAATTTATAGTACTAAAATTTGAATTATAATCTACAGTTTGATACCAAAGTTATTGACATAAGTTCATGAAATAGTAGTTCAATAAAATTTTGAATGCAAGTTAAGAAACGACATGACATGGCCTTTCATTGGTGACCCATCTCGAAACGGTTAATGACCTAAGTATTTAACTAATAATCTGTGAGAAATTACTTCCTTTCCATAATCAGAAAGCTAAGTATAGTACAAGTAACTTGTGTTTCTACAGTACATAATCCTAAAAAATGTCAACTTGTAAAGCTACTAAAACACTACAAAAATATTACATAAATATAATCTACAGCAAAATAAACTATAAACTTTAATTAGGCCACCAGTTAGTTAAATAATAACAGTCTGATATTTTTAATACAACCAATAGTCACTGTCAAGTCTGATTCCCCTAGTATTTATTTGTCTGTAATGCTGCCTATCTAACAATAAACCCAAGCAAAGTATGTGCAAAAAAAATCTTGATTTCAATGAGAATTAAAAATACCTACCCTTCCAAAATACCACTGCAAACAAAATCTTTTTTTAATATCAAACACTTTATGTCATACCATTAATGAGATGGTTGGTTAAAGAAACTCATTCACCTCAAGTAAAATCTAATGGTTTACACATTTCTTTACCACATTTATGCTGCCTGTTTGTAACTTTCATCAGTTTCCATACAAGAAAGACGGAAAGAAAGAAAGATGTTTTAGAAAGACGGTCAACATAATTAAAATTTTGGCCAACTGTTGCATTTTTAAATGGTATGTTTTTAAAAAAAAAATTAATTAAAGCTTCAACCCGAGATGTTAAAAAGCAGTTCTCAAAGAGTAACAGTGTATGTTAACAAACTTAGCACCAAAACAGTTTACAATTCACATTCTCATATTATTTAAGTTTTAATTTTTTTATTTCAAAATTAAATACTTAAATAAATTCTTGATCTTGCCTTGAGCTCCAAATTGCCCACTTTACACTTTCTTTCTATTTTTTTATATATAATTTTCTGAGTGTAATTTATTACATACACAGACTGTAAACATTGGCATGTCAGAATATAAACTTAGAATGCCCAATCTTCTTGCATTGCAAAGATATTAACAGAAATGTCAAATCACATGACACATCCCTCCTGTATCATTCTGCCTTTTGAAAATATTAATAAACTTCCTTCACATTACTACTGGATTATTTATAACCAACTGAAAGAGAATTTTTCTTTACAAGTTTCCTTATTCAGGTTTTTTTTTTGGCACTCATAACTAGATATTTAGCCTCAGTGTAATTGTTTGCCAATTTGTTGTTCAGCTTGAGCAACTAATAAAATTTTAACCCATTTATAGTTAAGTTAGAAAGCCAGTTAAATTATAGTAGTTTTCAGACACTCTAATTTAGTATGTAATAATTTTCTTCTGTTCCAAGATGCATATTTGAAACAAATATGAATAATTTTGTGGAAAATCAATATTGTAACAAAAAAGGTTAGATTTAGAGTGCCTCGACGGTCAACAGCAAAAGGCCAGAGCCCAAAGGTAAGTACATAATTTCTTGTTTTTATGTATACTTTTATTTATTGTTACAAAACTAAATAAAATATTAAAATTTCAAAATTAGAAATTAATTAAATTGGTTAACAAAATATAAATGAAAAAAAAAAAACGTTTACTTGTGATACACGATATCCTAGCATGCACACATCTGTGGCATGATTGTAACTCGATCATTTGTTTACACAGGACTGTCCCAGTGTGATAAATGGTTTCAGCATACTCTGAGATGGTCAAGTACAAACTCAGGCTGACTCAGTAAATGCTTTTTAAATTCAAATACAAATATTTAGTAAAAATAGTTCTTTAAAAATTCTGGTTTTTAGAGCACAATACACTTGTTTACTAACAGCTTACTAAATTTTGTGAAAATACACTTAGTAAATTTGGAATTATATTAGTAAATATTATTTATAGTTTCACAGAAACAGAGCTGCTACAATGCAACAGTGTCATACATGTAAGATATAGGAAGTAAGATGTTTAATTTTTAAAAATTCAACTTACCAGATATTCTTTCACTTCCTTCTCCAAGGACATTCCACTGCAACTGAAGTGAGTCTTCATTTGAATTAACAACAGTTAATAAAGGACTGGGAGGTGGTTCTGTTAAGAAGAGGAGGCATAATGTACATAATCTATTTATTATAACTGTGAAATTTTAGAAATTAATAGGACCAGTTTTACTTTAAGAATCATGTGAAATTCTGAAATATTAACAGACAATTATGTTCATTACAACACCTGAAACAAAACAGACATTGCATGGCTTATGACGAATATAAGCTGGGTCATTCCACAGAAAAACAATCATAAAATGACTAACAGCAACATATCTTAACATCTTATTTTTTTTTACTTTTAGGATGTACTATAAGCTCAAAACAAGTTAAACATACTTACTGCTACTTGTATACCCTAAGATACAGGACATAACTTAAATCTCTCATTAAATCCATACAATCATTTTACAAAAAAATTACAAAAATGTTGAAGGTTATACCCATCTTAATGAAATGTATCAAATTCATTTCAATTATTGTATTAAATGTACATTAACCACTACATGCCATTCTAAAGAGAACAATCACTATTTTGAAACTGTAGAAAATCATTATAAATCAATTGCAAATGTATACTTCAATACAGCAAAAATGTAGCTCTGAAAAGATTATGTTCTTGTATATTCTAATCAGTTGGATAATAAAAAAATTTAGTTATTGGAAGGCATACGAAGCTTCTTTTGTTAATACTGTTACACATCCCAACAACTTCAGCAAACCATTAAAAAAACTCACCTCCATCTCTTGTCCTAAAATATTTTTCTTCTGATGGAGGACTACTGCCAACATCATTAAATGCTTTCACGATGAGGCTGTAACTAGAGGACCTCTGTAGGCCACGAAGTAAGAACTGAACTGTTCCATTTTCATATGGAGCAGTGAAAAATGTGTAATGTTTTGGGTTTTGAGATAATCTATATCCAACATAAAAACCCTTCAAAGGTCCATTCCATTCCTTTCTTGCTGGGGGCTACAAAAATATTTTATAAATATGAAAATATTTTTTTTTATTATTTTACATTTTCTTTAGGATAATAGAAAGTTATTTTATAGCAACACCAGCAGATAATAAACACTATATACAACCAGGTGTAAAAAATCAAGAGACTCAGTATGATTTTGAATAATTGATGACTGTAATATACAATCACTATATTCCCTTTATAACTGTATATAAATATTAAACTTGTAGTTTAAACTAAAACAGTACAATTACTTATTTTCACTTTCATTACAACTTGAAGAAAGGTTCATATTTTTGTAGCTAAAATGAAAAACTCTTGAACATACCTCCCATGTTACTATGACAAAAGTTGCTCCAACATCTTTAATTCCTATGTTTCTTGGTGGGGCTGAAGGCTCTGAAAAGTAAATAAATATCTAAAGCTGTTATAATGTTGTTTGGAATTTAATAGTTCCTGTCCCTACTAATTATTATTATTTTATCTCAAGAAAGACATCATTATCTCTCAAGTAACAACAAATTTACTTGAAAAAATCTATATATATATATTATTATGAATTAAAAATATAATTTCAAGCCAAACAAATTCTGAACTTGAATGAATATTTTATTCTGGCCTAGATCAGCAGACCAGTTATAAAAAGAGTACAAATGAAGTGGCATGTACTGTTAAGTTTAGTTACTTCATACAATGAAGGTGAATCTACTTAATTACCTAAATGTAGTTGTGTACATTATATTTACCACCATGTGACTGATCATTTCAGTACAGTTGTGTTCATACGAAATCATAAACTTGACTCGAAAGATTAAACATATGTCACTTATGTTAAGATGTACCTACCAGTAATCTCAGTAGTTGTTGTTACATTTAATATTTTTTCTGAATTACTATTAATGTCATGAAGTGTTGTAGTAGATTTAGTATATTAGACTTGAAGAAAATTGTAGGGAGAAACCCATAGAACACTATCATATTTTCAGATAGTTATAGGTTTTTAATGTGTTACATATATGATAATGCATTTTCATGTACAACAGTCTAGGATTAAAAAAAGTAACTTATTCCTAAATTACTGTATACCTGAAGATGTCTACCATATTAAACCAAAAGTAGTCTGAAAATGTTAAAAAAAAAAAAGAAAATAGGAAGGTTAGTCTTAAGTGAGAGTAATTTATTAGTTGGTTGTAACTATTAACTCTCTCCACAAAGGTCAGTTGAATTAACAAACCTCATAACCACTGTTGTTCTCATTATAGTTTCAATACTATAACTTTTAACCCTTTCCAGATGAGTCACTGGTCAAAGGCAATGTCAT